AATTCTTTTTAATACTTGGTGGAGGTGATACTTGAATCCAAGACCTTATACCATGTTGAATTGTGAGACCATATTATCTAAAATGTTAAGTTAATACAAAAATCTCATTCTTAATATTATATCTTCAACAGTCAGTAACTACACATTTCCACCTGCTCTTTTCAACTCTGACAAGTTATTCAAGCATACATGTCCGTGTATAAATTTCTTTTCCATCACTTGAGTTTCTCCTCTTAAAACCCCCAAACTTTTCCGTAATAGAATTGAGCTCATGCCATCTATTTTACCAACCAAAGCAACAACTTGAAGGTTTTTCTGTTACCTCTGTCCGACTCATGGGTCTTTTGGAGCGAACCTGCTTTATTACATCTTCAGTGCTACTAGTTGGTGCAGCTGCAACTGAGAACAAATTAAACATGAATAACAGTCAATATTTGAATAGCATGAAGAATCAACATAAAACCCGTTCTCCCCTTCTCTAAGATAAAAATTTGGAGGAAATGAAACAGCTGCTGGAAATAAAAGAGAAGAAAAAATTAATACCATCATGGACATCATCCATAAAGTCAACTTCATGGACTGTACTCCAACTGCCCTGGAAATNATTAGAGTTTGAATCCAATGAGTTATTAGCCTAACTCAGCAGTTTCCACGCACTTGAACCAATAATGACATGGATTCATAGAACTATACCTTGCCAAAATAATCTTGTGGCATGTCAAAGAATGCACCCACTGCTTCATCCTCTGGTGGTTGCAAAACATTGTTGAAGAAGATACTTATAGAATCAAAATAAAACTGTGGACGTGGAGAGTTGTGATCACCCTCAAATATTATAATATCCTTGTCCCCCTGCCAACATTAAGTTCACTAAACAATAAGAAACAAGATGGAATATACTGGCATATGTCATTTCTGGACAAACAGCAATAAATACCAGTTACAAGAATGAAAAGTGTTATAAAACACGAAGTTAATTGCTACATAGCGCATAAAGGAGCATAGCACTAAAGAACTGGCGTTCTAAACCGAGAGATCCAATTCAAGAAGAAAAAGAAACATTTGACATGCCTTTACACCCATAAAGTCTGTAAAATTAAGAACAAAAGAAAAAAAGACTATCCAATTCTTTCCTTTTTCTCCTTTTTTTCCGGAAGGGGGGAGGGGGTAAATTAGACAGTTACCATGTACGCCTCAAATACACGATCAGAGTGATGGGGCTGTATAAAATCATCATCAACAGCATGACCCAGTAAAACAGGGACAAAGCATGACTTTGCCACCTACATAAAATTTAGCATAAAGAAACGATCAAAGATGGTCAATAAAATTGTTTAAAAAAATAAATGGAACTATCACTTCCAAAAACGTTACACCAAAAAAAACTTGATACTAATAGGAAAACTTCCTACAGTATCTTCACTTACACACTGTTCTATTTCTCAATTGCTGAAGGTTGTCAAACATAAAAAAGTCATATTATCAGAACTCATACGTAAAACACCTTCCAGAGGAAATACCTTAATTGTGTTCAACTCGGTTATGTCAAACTTCGCCTTTTTTAAAACCGCTCTGCGCATATATTGGATTGCAAACTTTACCTAAAATAACAGGAAAGGAGGAAGCTTAGAAAGAGCAATGAATTAGGAAGAAAACAGAACAACAGAAGGCCACTCCTTCAGTTGCAAAGAGAAAATATGAGAATAACCCAAGAAAAGAACACAGAAAGTACATTTCAAAATGCACCAGATAAAAATATTTCAACTATAAAACTTTACAGTGAACTTGGGCAGCCGGATTTTGTAAGTGTCTACAAGTTCCATCATCAAATCAACCAAATCAGAGAAGGGGCTGTCTAAAACCATTCCAGCAATGGATGGATCCTCAGCACCGTACATGAGGCTGCAAAGTCGATGTATAAGTCAGTCACTTTAATACGGCTACCAGTGACGCACAATGTTATAGGTATATACCTGACCATATACAGCAAAAAAAAAAGGTAGAGAGATTGCAAGCGCATGCAATCTGTCAAGTCAAACTGATTTCCGGAAGTAAATCGATATGTTAGCTCGCTAGAAAAAGAAACCCTTTCTCGTAACAAATAATTAACTAGCCAAAAAAGGAAAACCTTTCTCGTAACAAATAAGAAACTCTTTGAGACTGAAGGCTTAATCTTGCGCATGAAATATCCCATCTTCTCTTGATATACCTAATAAAAAATAATATTTCTCATCTAATGTGAAACTTAGCAGATCAAGACCAATTTTGACTATTCATCTGTTACGCTTGATGACTACTACTTTTTGGCCAAACAAACCTTTCTTGTGCTTAAGGGGGCAAGAACGACGTGAATGGTTTAGCCATACAAATTTATGATCCTAAAATACTAAATTTAAGTATGTGTTGAACGTGCTAAATGGTAGTAAGATTAATGATCTTACTACTCTTATCACAAAAAAATGCTGTGATCCTAAAACACGGGATTTAATATGTTTTGGAAAATTTTGCATTTCTCTTGTCTCATCCATTAACTTGCCTCATTGTGTTGTGCCTACGGCGAAGCTTGTGTATGCCTAAGAGCTGTACACACAGTCTTGGCTCCCTAAAGCCTCACAACATCATAGCACAAGATATTTTGAATTTAAATATTCTTACTAGTACACAGTGAAAATCTTTTCAGCTAGATCCAACTTTAGATTGCTATAGGCTTACATCAAAATGATAATATACCAAATTAACCAGGTATGGATGTCAAAGAACTACAACTAAACAATGTTCTATCTTTTTGTGGATTCA